ACTTAACAAATCCAGAAACTGAGGCTCACACGCAGGTGGTCTGTATACTGAGCCAATAATGTATACTCTATTGTTGAATGTAATCTTGCACCATACAGTTTCGCGAACATCACATTGTATCATGCAAGTTGGGATAGAACTTTTAACAATGATTCATTGTAAACTTCCTTTCACTCATATTCTAAGGAAGGTATAGTTCACTCTCTCTTTTCATGGCCTTACACTCTCCGGAATCTGTGCTGCGTCAACTTTCCAAAATGAGTCGTTCCCTCATTCACTTCAATGCACGCAGCCTTCGTAAGAATATAGATGCAATCACTAACTTCATTTCCTCAGTTCAGCATGCCTTCACGTTTATCTGCATATCAGAGACTTGGCTTTGTGACGCAGATAACTGCATGACCAGTTTCCAGTCTTATCAAGCTGAATATTGCCACCGCCAAGATGATAATCATGGGGGTGCCGCGATTTTTTTTTTTTCCCAAGATGTCGCTTACAGGCGCAGATGTGACCTTAAATTAAATGTGAACCATTGCGAATCAGTGTGGGTAGAGGTTGACCCCTCATTCTTTAATAATGAAAAAAATCTAATCCTGGGTTGCATTTATCGCTCACCATCGCCGTCTCTTTGCGATTTTTCGCGCAGTCACAGTGAAGTTTTATCTAAGCTAACTTTTGAAAATAAAAACGTAGCAATTCTAGGTGGTGTGAATATTAACTTGCTTGACACGGACAGTACTTCTTATGCAAATTACACTGATTGTATCACTGCATTCGGCTTTGAATCACTTGTTGAGTGTCCAACTAGAGTTGCATCTCATGGTACCGGTACACTCATTGATCACGTGTTATTTAACTTGACGTCCCCACACTGCATGGGGATTGTCGACACCGATATCACCGATCATTTTCCTACCTTCCTCGCATTCGAAAACATAACCCACACACGCAATATTAGCTATACCACATCTGTATTTAGTTTCGATTCCTTTGTTGAGGCTATCAGTACCACTGACTGGGTGCCTGTCATGTCTATGTCAGATCCAGATGCAGCCTTGCGAGCATTTTGCTCGTCATTTTTTACTCGCCGTTTCGACCAACACGCGTACTGTCCTGTGTAAAAAAAAATACAAGTATCCACACAACCCATGGATGACCAATGGTCTTCTAAAAAGTTTAAGAAAGAAAGAAAATATGTATAAAAAAAAAGAAGCGACAGCCCTTTAGTATGAGTCTTGCTAATGATACAAGTCTTATTGCAGTCTATTAAATACCTTGCTCAAGCAAGCGAAAAAAAGGTACTATGAAAATGAATTCGACAAGAATAGGACTAACCCCAAAAGGCAGTGGCAGCTGCTCAACTCATTCCTTAACAAGTCATCTGCTAATGTCCCTCTAACCAAAATCGACTACAATGGATCCACCTTCTCTGCGCCCAAAGAAATTGCCAATGCCTTTTCGGAATACTTTTCTTCCGTCTATACTAACCACCGCCCCCATGCGCAGTCTCGGACGTACCACACAGTCATTCTTTCTTTTCCCAACAACACCACAGGAAGTCTTTTCCACTATTGCTAATTTTGAAAATACAGGGCCTGGGTTAGATGACATTTGTGTAAGGCATCTAAAACTTGTTGCACATTTAATTTCCGATAGGCTGTGTCATATTATCAACCTTATGTTTAAACAGGGTTTATTTCCTGCATTCTTAAAAAAAAGCTAAAGCAATTCCAGTTTTTAAAAAAGGCGATAAACAAACAGTTTCCAACTACCGTCCAATTTCAATTTTTTCCTGCCTCAGCAAACTAGTCGAAAAATTGTTTGTTGAACATCTGAATGAATATCTAGTTAAATTTAAATTGCTTAAAGACAGCCAATTTGGATTTCGTCCAGGTAGCTCAACAATGTTCTGCCTCGAACTGATTACATAAAGAAAAGTATCGATTCGGGAAATTTAGTGGGTTCCATTTTTTTTAGATCTCACTAAAGCCTTTGACACTGTAAATCATCAAGTCTTATTGCATAAACTTCAGTCCTATGGAATAACAGGCCCTGTGCTTACATTCTTAAGAAGTTACCTACTGGACCGACAGTACACAGTACACGCCGCAAATACCTTCTCTACAACAAAATATGTTAACCAAAGAGTACCGCAGGGCTCAGTATTGGGCCCTTTGCTATTTATTTTATATATGAATGATCTTCTTGATGTTCTTAGCTCTTTTGACTGTGGTCACTGTGTTCTATACGCTGATGACACAACAATATCTTCATCTGATAAAAACATTGATGCTCTTGTTTCAAAGTAATATCCTGCATTAAGTGCCCTTATGAATTGGTGCAGCAATAATCACTTAGTTATCAACCCCACAAAAACTAAATTTATGATGTTTAAAAGTGATCAGAGGTCATTATTTGCTATTCCCTTAATACAACTTGGTATTCATTCCATTTCTGCTTGTTCTGATGTCGTTTTTCTTGACATACATTTTAACCCATGCCTTACCTTTCGCAGTCACTTTAACCATCTTAAGCAGAAGACGGCATTTGGTATCCGCGCATTAATCAAAGCTCGCCCTTTCTTTCCCCGTGAAGCTCTACTGGCGCTGTACTTTGCGTTCATTCATAGTCATATTATTTACGGTGTAGTCTCATCCGGCAACACTTATGCTAGTCATTTATCATCAATACAGCACATTCAAAATCAGTCAATCCGCATTGTCACTTCTAGTTCTTTGCAATCCAACGCCTACACATTACTACGCTCTTACAATATCTTGCCAGTAAATCTTTTGTTCCGGTTAAATCTTGTGACCTTATTCCACAAACTGCTGTATAATGAACTTTCATTCCACTGAAAAGCCGCGTATTCGAAGAAGAAAAAAAAAAGAGTTGCTCAAGGTCATGAGGTGCGTGTGGAGTATTTTCTTTCGCCGTGCCTTCCTTCCTGCTTAGCTTTCAGCTATTTCTTCAAGACAAGAAGAGAAAATCCATTTGCAGCGTGCCCCAATTTCGGAACTCTGCTCATACTGGAATGATTCTAGAAACGTTGCTGCAGTAAATTTGTGAGGCAACAAGCATGTTTACTGGCTCCATGGCTATTTGAAAAAGTGTTGCAGGGCCCCTTTAAAGAAACATGTTACCCTCAAATCAATTCATTTTATTAAGCTTATTATGACAGCTTATATAATCCTAATATAATAAATTTTAAAACATCAAGTATCTCACAAGTTATCACTCGCATCCTATCGAAACTACTACTCAAGGTTGTTTTGACTTCCTTTGAACGAAAAAATAAATGGCATTTGCATAGAGACCCTGTTTCAATTAAGAAGAAATATTGCGCAGGTTAGTTTTGTCATGATAAATATTTGCTTTTTTTTGTCATACATACCATTTAAATTCGATTCGAAATTATTTGATCGAAATCACTATTCACTTCGACTTCGCTTCGAACCAAAAATTCACTATTCGCACAAGCCTACTCATATGACATCCTCTCGGTGATAACAGGGCTGCCCGAAATTAAGCAAAGTCAGTTTCGCCGCAAGGGTGAAGCAATTAATGACTGCAATAGCAACAACTTTGAATGTAACGCTAAGAACGGCAAACAGGTCGAAACATTCAACGTGCGACTCGCGCACAAATGACGCATGAAAACAATTTACAAGACGAAAGCAAACTAACAACGTTTACCGCTCGACACTTAATGCGCCGTTTAAACAAAAACGAAGCTCGAAACGCAGTCACAAGTACAGATATGAGTGCGAACAAACAAGTGCGCCAGCTGTCACTTTGCCGTGTTTGATAAGCGCACTCTTCGCAAACAGCGCCAGTCTAGCAAGTGAAGTTATGTTTGCGCACCCGGCAACTAAACACAATCGTTCCGGTCAAAGTCGAAGGCACGCATTTCTCGCTACCGAAGGATAAGTGCATGGGCACGAACCATCTACCCCCCCATTCTATTCACGGGGCGAAATATGCGTGGGAGATAAGCAGGCGTCGGCGCCGAGCGCGAGGGGCTTTTTTTTTACCTTTTTTGAGTTTTCACGGATACATACATGGTGAATGACCGCGGCGATGCAAAAAAGAAAAAAAAATTTCAAATATTCTATATTCTGTCTATATATATATATATATATATATATATATTCTGTCTATATAATTGCTATCACAATTAAAAAAAAAAACAGCAAAGCTGAACGCCGTCAGGGGCCACATTATGCGCACACAGTCAAACTATGCACGCACGCACGGCGTCAAGAACGAAGAGGAAACACAAGCACAGACGCCACGGAAAACTATTCGGTAAAGCGTCCTCCATATACAACGCTGCCCCACATATGTGATGCTAACTAAAAGTGCGGCACTGCTATGTCGGGTCGTGAGGTGTAGGCCAGCGCCTGCCCGCCTCGCGCTCACCCATGCAGCGCTCGATTCACGTGTTGTGGCCCTGCGCGCAGTTACCGCTTCCTGTTTCGTCAAGTCGGTGGCGGGGTAGCCACGGAAGATACATGCTCGTACCAAAATGCTAACACGCGGAGGAAAATTCTTAGATTGTCCGTGGAGAAAATTCGTTAGATCAAGGTTGTCTACCGCTGTTACTTTGTTACATAGAGGTCGCAAACACATGTGCTTCTATGGAGCAATGGTGGGGAATATAAAAACTTCATTATATTGAGGAATTCGTTATATGGAGGTTCGTTATAAGCAAGTTTACCTGTATAGGTAGTTTTCAACACTGTCCTTTGCAAGAAAACTTTTTATTTACATCGTTGTACCCGATATTCCGTCACATCTGTGTTAGTCATTTAGAGGTTAGAGTGTATTGTGGTCTGAAAGTCACCGCAGATTTGACAATATGAAAGTACATTAGTGCACCTAAGTACTTTCACTCGCCTGCGAGATTCATGCCATTAAGATTCTGCGACATCCTGAACTACAGTGCCAAATTACTGTTTTCAGGGAATGCTGCAAGTTTCGTTGCAGTGCCAACTCACCCGTGTGTGTCGTGGTGTCGGCCAGCAGACACTGGTGCTGCGGCTGAAGGTAGAACGGGGTTGGCCGCCACCTCCCACTTGGGTGGGCTGCTCTCCTTGACGCGCTTCTTGACGGGAGACAGCTGCTGGTGCACGGTCTGCGCTAGGTGAGGCAACTGCAGCGAGTGGCCTCCTCCTCGGTGGTGGTGGCCACTCTCTATGGCGATGGGTGCCTGGCGCTGAGTCTGGTGCCGGTATGGTTGCGATGCCAGGGACAGTGACGACTGTTGCAGGGACGAGGAGTGCAGGCTGGTTGGAAGCGGCTGCAGCTGCTGCTGCTGGTGGAGCGACAGGTCATCCTCCCGGTACAGGCTGCTACGGCTGCGTTGGGTTTCAACACGACTTTAGAAGGCTGGGGCTAACCAGCACGTCGCTATCAGTGCTACAGGGATGAACTTTGGACAAGAACCCATGTTGTGTGCTCGGTGTCATGTGCCTCCTGTCCCGAGTTCGCGTTAAGCGGCCACAAACACAAGGATAAGCGTCAGCAGAAAGCTCAGTGTGAGACTGGGTGGAACACACAGCTCATACTCTGCACACAAAGGCAATTACTGCCGGTGTTGTCAAACTCATTCGATGCATAATAGTTCTTGTACAGAAATAGTGTTGGGGACACAATAAATTATAGGGACACAAGATTGAGGACGGTTATTGATAAAGGTATGCCTGAAAGGCTGCAGACCACTTTTACAGCACATGTGTGAGGTGGCTGTGTTGCTGTGAAACTGGCACCATTTCATTGAAAATAGAGGTGTGCGAATATTTGAAATTGTCGATATTTTTTTCATAATGTATCCTATTTGATTCGATTCACACTTAGAATATAACTATCGAAACTTGCCAAAAATAAATACAGTCAACGACCCACACATGCTTAACCCCATAACACACTCGTATTGCAGTAAGGGTGTTTTTAAGGCTCTGCTACGCTTGCAAATGTTTACAAGAAAACCCTGGTTTCAACATGAAGATGATATATGTGGCAGAGGTGGTGGCCAAATAATGCTCTTTAGGACCTGAAATTTGGCCATTCTGAAGATTTTTAGCAACCAAAACTTCACATGTTCTTATACAGAGTAGACATCTTTGAAGCAGATGTGGAGCTGCAGACTTTAAGGAAGCACATCCTTGTCCACCACATCAGTTGAGCTCCACAGAAGTTGGAGGAGCAGAGACACTAGCCTCATTTTTTTTTTTTTTTTTCAAGTTTTAGTATTTAGAGCTGAAATTTTTACCTGATACAGTCACCGACCGATTTTTCGGACTTGTTGGATATTTCAGACTTCAAAAGTGCATTGTCAGGGTTCCCAAAGAACTAATGCATTTCTTCGACCGATTTTTCGGACGAATTCACCCTAAAGTTAGATTTTTCGGACTAAATTGCTTGCTTTGAGCCGCAACACACACCTGTATAGACGTCGCCCCGTTTGATTTTCTGCTGGCTTGACTAAGCTTCGTGGCTTAATTTTAAAATGGCTTTCCTACCTCCAACACTGAAAAGCAAACGTCATATTTCAAGTTTCGGAGGCCGTGCCTGCTCTAGAAAACGCGGCACTTTTTTTCGGTTTCCACCAGGTCTGAAAAATCAGTCGGCGACTGTATGCATTTTTCACAGCTGAAAACAAATGTGTAATTAGTTTTCAGCTGTCACTTCCAGATATTAAAATATTGACTGTTCTGTAAACTTACAATCTGCCTGCTGTTGCCCACTGTTTAGACAGCTTTTTCATAAAAGATCGCTGCAAATTAGATGGGACACTGCTCTCCGTAAAGAACAGGGAGTGCAAGGAAACCATGTTTTAATTTTTAGCTTCATTGGTTCAAGAGTTATGGCCTTAAGAAGTAGACTCATTAAAAATATAATTCTTGCTAAATTATATTACTAATAAAATCAATGTTCTTTATAAGATTATCATAATTGTTTAGTCTTTTTGGCACTCATCAATGTATAAGCTTTCAAATGCTGCAAAAATGACCGAATCTCACCACTACTGTGAGCAACAGCCTTGGACGTGATGAAAAATGTTTTGAGAAAACGAGAAAAGAAAATGAGGGACACGGTGAGCATGTATATTCAACAGGTAAAGGTGTTAATCAGTGCAGCAATGATGCTAGAAGCCACCGGGAAAGTACCGTAATTACTCGAATCTAACGCGCACCTTTTTTCCGGTTAAGCGAGTTCATAAATCGCATGCGCGTTAGAATCGAGTACGAACAAAAAAATTACGGTCAATCTATTGCCATCGGCAAATCCAAATGGCCGCCCCCTACGTGCGTCGGCCATTTCTGCCTATGTGTTTCCCATGTGCGGCACTTCGTACATGTGCTGAGGAGTTCGTCATCTAGTAGTGCATTAGCATCGACGGCGTGGAAGGGCCGACTCCAAAAACCCGAGTGCACCACGATGCCGCTTTTAAAAGAAAAGTCATCGCGTGTGCAGAAACGGACGGAAATCGGGCCGCATCGCGGTTGTTCGGAGTTCCCGAAACGTGCGCGCGAGACCGGCGGAAACAAAAGCAGAAGATTGTCGACAGCAAAGCTTTCCGCAAATTAAAGAGCTGCTCGGCGAGTATGTGCTTGAGCAGCGAGCGGCACAGCGGCCCGTGACTCCAAGTGCGGGCTATGCAATTAGTCTTGGAAAAAGGTCTAATGCGGAGCAAGTTTAAAGCGAGCAGGTGCTGGCTAACTAACTTTATGAAGAGGGAAGGCTTTCCTTTCCGAAAGAGAAAATGCATATGCGAAAACTTTTGCGGAGGAGTACGATGAAAAGCTTCACAGTTTTCAGAGGTTCGTCCTAAACTTGCGGTGCAACAACGGCTACCTGCTTGGGCAAATCGGGAATGCCAATCAGACGCCTCTTTACTTCGTCATGCCTGGCACCACAACCGTCGAGAAGAAGGAGGCGAAGCAAGTTCGCGTGCTGACATAGGTCCACGGTAAAACAACAGTGACGGCAATGCTCTGTTACACGTCAGATGGGCACAAGCTTCGCCCGTACCTCATATATAAACGCAAGACGCTCCCGAAAGGAGTCATTTTTTCGAGTGGTGTGATCGTGCGGGCCAGCGAGAAAAATGGGTGCGCGTTGCAATCGATGTCTTACGTTGTTTTTTTTTTTTCGTGGTGGAAATCGGGTGCGCGTTACAATCGAGGGCGCGGTAGAATCGAGTAAATACGGTAGTCACTAACATTATTCGTGCGCTTTTTTTTTTTTTTCATTGCATGCCTGATGCTTCCGGGATTTCCAGAGTTCAGATTGGCATACAGCATTTTGACGGTGCTCGCGCAGTCGTCAATAACGTGCACAGCAGTCTTCTGAGACGCAGCAATCATTTTCTGCTTGTTGTAACCTTTCTACGTCTTTGTGTACATGCTTCTCCGTGAAATAATGAGGGTGAAAAAAAAAAATGCAATTCAACGCAGTTTGTCCGTTTGCTGTATCGCGCGAATCACGAGCACTTTAATCTTAAAGAGGCCGCGCACCGCATCCCCCCTGCTCTCGACAACTCTGTACAATTTTGAGTTCCCCGCACTCATCACATGTCAACACAAGTTTCGTGGCGATGCCATATTCCCGATCTTTCTTGGAAATGCTGCCAGGTCCGCCACGCACACCGCATTTCATACACTGACGCAGTTCATTCATTATCGCTAAGCTTATGACGGTGCATGGTGTTCCAGTCGTCGTGGTTGCTTCCGAGTCTCGAACAACAGACAGCTCACGTCGTGTGGCTGACGTTGACGAAGGTCTCTTTGAATGTCACACCCACAACACTCAAGGGCCACTTTTTCAGTGTAAGAAACTAGGGGAGTGCTGACGGGCATAGCTCGCATATGATCGTTGGCCCTGGCTATTGCGTCCATGATCGCGGGAGTCAAGTTCGTGATAGCGTTGGCACAGCCAGCTTTTTCAGTGTTCTCAGCAGCAGAGGGTCTCGTTGGTAAGACGTTTCGTGCCCTCAGATGCTGTTTTCGCTTCTTCTTGCACGTACGAGCAGTATGGAACTTTTAATGACCGCCTGCCATTGCACTGATCGCACCTCCTATTGAGCCACCACCTATTGGTGGCTGTGCGATCAAAAAGTGGGATGCAAGGAACTGTGCGATACAAAAAGTTGGATGCAAGGAACTTGGAACTATTCGAAGTAATCGGTGCTCGTCGTTTGCTGTGCCGGCTAGCTTGCGGCTCCAAGGTTATTTATAGTTCTATACATGTAAATACCAAGGTTATATTCAACTAGCTCAGATACAGTTAATATATTGTTTTCGTGAAGTAGTGACTTAGCGTTAGAGAGATATGGGCTTGATGTGAGAATTCTTATCCCTTGGTTTTGAATTGTCTGAACTGAAGTAAGATGAGTGGTGTATGTGTTACCCCATGAAGTAACACAGTAAGAAATGTGCGAATGAACAAAAGAAATATACAGTGACATAAGTATTGATGGATTGAAATAAAGATGAGATTTAATCAGTAGTCGAACGCCATACGTCATTTTTTTCCTAATATATGCAACATGTCGGTGGTATTTCAAGTTACTGTCGAGTTCAACGCCTAGGAATCTACAGCAGTCTCTCACAGGGATGTCATTGCGCGCAATTATAACAGGAGGGATAGAAGGTAAGGGTTTTTGTGGTGAAGAGAAGACAACAAATTCTGTCTTAGACGTGTTAATTTCTAACATGTTATTACTGCACCACCGAACGAGTTGTGCCAGATCAAAGTTTAGTTTTCCAGTTAAGGATGTAATGCTGCTATCGGAGTTAAAATTGTGGTGTCGCCGGCGTATAATATACAACTGGATGAAGAAAGGCATTTTGGCAAATCGTTAATATAGAGTAAAAACAAAAGGGGCCCCAGAATGGACCCCTGGGGTACACCAATATTAGTTAATTTGGTTGACATTCGAATATGCATTAGCAATTACCACCTTCTGTGTCCTGTTGCAGAGATAGCTACGCAATAATAGTAATGTTGGGCCAGTTATACCAAATGCTTCAAGTTTATTGAAAAGAATGTGATGATTGATTGAATCAAAAGCTTTAGTTAGGTCGATGAAAACGCTGCCCGCATAGTAACCGTTATCAATAGCCTTTTTAATTGGTCAGTAAGTGAGATTAGCACAAGGTCACTGGAGTAGCCAGAACGAAAGCCAAATTGACAAGGCGATAGTATATTAAATTTGTTCAGGTAATTTGTGAGACGTGTAGAGATCAGTTTTTCAAGTTACTTTGCTCAAAAAGGGTAAGATGCAAATGGGGCGGTAGTTATTCAATAACGAAGCATCTCTTTTTTTATGTACGGGGATTATTTTCCCTGCTTC